GATGGTGAAATTATTCACCGCTAACTTCTTAAAGGTCCGATGGAAAAAAACATTTACATTCTTGGAAAACAAAACAAAACAAAACAAAAAAAAAACTCAAACCCTCCCACTCCTGGGACATTTTGACAGACGACGGTGTGCGTCAGAGCGCCGCCATCGCCACGTCAGTCTGCTGGCATCATCGCCTCTTTCTCCCACGGGCTCGGTGTTCAAACGACGGTGCCAATCTGTCCCGACACATCGCACAAACAACGCCATCAAAGAAATATGGCGCGAAAATCAATTTCTGATGTAAAGAGATGGCAATCTAAATGATTCTCTTTGTGCTCGAACCTCCCGCTGATCCTACTCCTTGTGTTGCTGCCTGATCTTATAACTTTTGCAAGTTTGAGCCACCACTATTAACCACAAGGCCATTGCTCTTTTCATCTGCTTCTTGCTAAGCCAGAAGCTCTCAGCGAGCTCAAAGGGGCTTTACAAAATGAAGGAGAGTATTACACGGTGCCAGAGGAAAGAACAGCAGCAGATTGATACAAACACTTGGCTTTACTCTTTGTTTTCCACTTCGTCTTGCTCAACTCGTCATGAAATGATTAAAACGTAATGAGCAGTGAGGGAGAGAAAATATTTTTTTGAAGTCAAATATACTGTAGAAATTACAGCTTCCTCTTTGTGCTTAAACGTCTTTTCTTCTGTGACTGTTTTGAGCGTTTTACGCAGTTTCAGATCAAAATAAGTGCTGGCCGAGGCGAAGATTTGTGCAGTTGAACGTTCTGAAGCAAGGTGAAAAGAAACGTTGCTGCATAATTTGGTGCTTTTCTGTCAACTATTCATAAATGTGAATCAGAACTGTGTGAAACTTTTGTGTGTTTACCCATTTGTTTGTTAATGACTTGCTTTCTACTCCTCGAAGTAATCTTGAGCAGCAGTGCTATTTTTCTGGAGGTGCTTTTATAGCTTTCTTGGATTTAGTTTAAACTTTGGACACCTTTCCTCTCATATGCAAAAGCAGAGTTGAAATTTTATTTCTTCTGCTAGAGAATAAAATATGTACTGTCTACTTTGCTGTAATAAACTTTGGAGGAAAGGGAAAGTTGAATTGCTTTGCGAAATTAGAAAGGATAAAGCTAAGAAAAGATCAGGCATTATGCATTTGCTCAATAATGTCCTCACATGCTCCCATTCCCAAAGAGCAACACGGTTAAAATTTGTTTAAAGTATTTAGTGGGTCGGCACGGTTTCATTTATAAAGATAAACTGAAGCATAATTTCCAGATGAATTGGACCAGGAGTCCTGAATGTTCCTCTAAAGCCGACAACGGACCTTTTCTGTCAGCCAAGCAGCAATCCCTCGTCTAAAATGGAGCGTGTGACTAAATGGCAAAGTACAGACAGTGTATGAGTTTGTACTGTACAGTAATAGAGTATTTTGTGGGAGTTTTTCTTTTAGATATAAGCTCATTTTCTGCCTTTTTTTTTTGCATTTCTCCAACAGCACATCTGCTCCAAGGCTTTCATGAAAATTACATGCTTTACGATCGCTTACTGTGAGAGACGGAAGGTGGGACTTTAATACAGAAATGTATGCATAATGAAAAGTATGTTTAATACTTGCTTAGATTAATTGTGCTCGCTCTGAGCATAATTAATCTTTTTAAATGATTAAGTATTATTTATTAATCAGTTTGAATGGGGCAGAAGGAGAAGCTGACTCAGGGAGACATTTTCTAAAACATCCTCTTATTGAGGAGTTTTCATTGTTTGACTCTAAACAGTGATCCGCAGCTCAAACAACAAAAACTTCTGGATTTTCTTCATGCTCATTAAAGGCATGAAAACTCGAAGCTCCCGTCTTTAAAGCATGCAAACGAATCAACAAACAAGAAGCTGTTTGATGTGCCTTTTGTTTGAAAGAAATCAGATAAAGGTTAGGGGCTTTATTACATAAATGCAGATAATCTTCTTATTCTTTTATGTTCTGTTTTATTCAGAATGTCTGCAGAATCCTTTTCCTTTTGTTTTCAGTTTCTTTTGTTAAATTTGCACAGCTATGGTTTCATGTAATCTGTTCTCTGTTTTTTTTTTCCACATTCTGCTTTTTTTCTCATACTTGCTCCTAACTTGTTTATTGTTACACCTGTCCTGTTTATTTCTCTCGCAACAACAAGAGGATAAAATCTCCCCTAAAACTGCAGAAAAAAAAAAAAAATTATACAGCTCAGATGGACATTTGAACGGCTGGGGAAAAGGAGAAGCAAAAAACCCCAAAACAAAACATAAAACATATAAAATGTTAATCACATCCAACATTCTGGTGGGTAGCTTTTGGTTAAGAGCCTTCAAGCTATTAAGACGAGAAAACTATTCAAACGATTCAAGATGAATTGGAACACATTCTTTCCACAAAGCACTGAATCAGCACCCAGCGCCGGGACAAAACCCCCAGACTTTGGCAGACATGACCACTGAAACATGTGCTGCACATAGAATTTATTTTTTTTTTCATAACTCTGCTCTGAAACATGGGGGACTTTTCACACTTTGCAGATACACAGCAAAATCATTTCGGTTGAAACCTTTAACCCCGTGTTCTCCAATTTAATGTGACACAAAATAGCTTATTCTAATTTAACCACATTCACTTGGTAGCTCTGATGAACATAGACCGATCCGCAGATTCCTGAGGTTCAGGGCACGTTAACGGGGCGGGGGAGGAAACTGGAACCGAACCTTCGTCGCTTCGAAAACAAGGCAGCAACACTTCACATGGAGCCGCTGTTGCCCTGCTTTGCTTTTGTAAACTTCTGTATGGTTCATAACTTAATGACGATTAAATAAGGACTATTTAGTTTACTGGTTTCAAAGAGTTGATGGTGCCGTGCATGCTAACCCAGTGGCTTTGGAAAAGAAGCGATCCCAAAGCATTACAGGTCTTCCACCTTACTTTCCAATATTTATCCTTTGTTTCACAACAAACCCATATGAATCGGTGAAAAAGCCAAATATAGTAAAATTTGACCAAAGCCCATGGTTTCAGATAAAGAGTTTAGCAAAAATCGTCTTGTTTATGTGTAGCAATAGGACCATCCCGCTTATTCAGGGTGCTGGAGAGATAATATAACCTGTTTGTGTGGTGGACAAAATAAATAACCATCATTTTATCATTTTATTTCTCGTCAACTTGCGCTGCTTGTGATTTTTAGTTTAATTAAAAGCTTCTTAAGCTTGTCTACCTAAAGTACCGGTGCATCTGTAAAATACAGTCAACAAAACAAAGTATTTCTAAATAATATGCTATTGTAAATTAAATACCACGGACATTCGTGGTTGCAAAATGGCCTCAAAAAGTGGTTTCCCTTCATGGAAGCCAGGCATTGCCCCATGAGGACAGGAGGGTGGGGCACAATTAAATTATTTGTCTCAATAAACTGTGTAAGTCTGTGTGTATCAGAGAGCAGCAGCCTGGTGATCCATCATCAGCGGTGAGGGTGTGGAAGTGGGAGGATGATGAGCGAACCAGAGGAGCAGGCTGACGGCAGGAGCGAAGAGAGGCTCTCCATCTCTGCGAGCGCTCCAGAGTGCGGCATAGTTTGGGCTTTTAAAATGGATGTTTAATGGATGCATGTCGGGGGGGTGGGGGGGTAAACCCAGCACGCACACTGGATGCGTTAGCGGCGTTTCCGTGCAGCAGCAGTCCCATCATGTATTTCTAATGATCTGGAGTCTTTCTTGAAATAAAACATATGATATTTAATTTTTTGCTAAGTCAGCTCTGGTTGGCGATTCGGAAGGTCAGATGCTGAAAACTTCCACCATTTCCTGTCTGTCAAAGGAAATGTTTCAATACACTTTTTTCCTCATCTAGGCCATGCTTTCCAAAATCACTGAGCCAGAGGACGGTACACCCTGGACAGGTTGCCAGTTTGTGACAGAACAACCCCCAGTTGACCTACTATCCATATTTTTGAGCCATAGGTCGAAGCCAGAGAAAGCCGAGAACTCACACATACACCCCGAGAACATGCAAACTCTGTGCTGGAAGGCCTTGACTGGGATTCAAACCAAGGCCTTCTTGCTGAAAGCCAGCAGTGCGAACAACTGAGCCAGATCAGACCACCTGTGAGAGATTTGTTTTATACCTGATGCATAATAAATGGACAATCTGTCTATTCCTTCAATTTAAAAAGCACCACCTCGAAGAACCTGCAATACGTTTTATTGTCTTTGTGGTATTGTTGGGCATTTAGTTTCATAAAAAACCAGAAACAGCAACTTGTTTTTCCTCTTGTCTATGTAGTGTAATTGCAATACTCCACAGTCCCTCATTTGTGTAACCTGTAGTGCATTGTTTTCTCTTCTGTTTTTATTACAGGTTCTCATTTTTTCTCGCTCATGTTTTAAAGTCCTCTGAACATTCAACACATTTCTTTCTTTTTTCACATTTTTGTCAATTAAATTAGAAAATAAAAATAGAACAATTGGTCAGAATTTTAAGCCAAATTTGTGAGCCATTGGCCAGGAAAAGCCTAATTTTCATCAATGATGACCAGAACTCAAAGGAAATTCCCCAGAAAATGCAGTTTTTCCAACGCTGTAGTCAACTGAAACAAAAAGAGCCTTAGTTGTCGAAGAGATTTACGATGTTTGCCTTGGTGCTTTTGTATTTTATGAGCTGCACAGCTCAGGTTTATTCCCATTAACACACAGAGGCAGCAGAAGCAGCAGCAGCAGTGTGTCACAGGTCAGTTCCGTCTCCACATCACTACACATGTTCCTCCATGTTTCTCTGACCAGCTGCAGCATGTTGCAAACACACAATGAGAAGCAACTGCAACCCCAACACACACCAGAGAGCCAGCATCACCTCGCATGCCAATGGAAACCCCCCGTAACGAATGCTGCGTTCAATTTCGCAGTAAATGATCACCACCGCTCAGATTCACCTGGGAGAAAGAAAGAAAGGAAAAAAAAAAAAATCTCTCCCAAGCCACAAAACTTACCCGCCGTGACTCGAGAGACTCCGAGGCAGCCGCTGAGGACGAGCAGGAAAAATCTCTCCATGATCTCTCAAACGCTCGGACGACGTGCGGTCCCATTTATTTACTCGGGCCGTGTTGCGCTGTTCGGCATCCACGTCTGTTCACGCGTGCAGTCTGGACGGGTGGGGGGTGCGGCGGGAAGAAGGAGGAGGAGGGGAAAACACGGCGACTCTTCAGCACCCTGGACAGCACCTCACGGCTCACTCAGCTGCCGCGATTGTCTGCAGAGCTGCAGCCAGCATCATCATCTTCATCATCATGGACTGCGCCGTTTCACATGCGTCCAAAAAAAAAAAATGTGCACCAGTCAGATCCCTCCTCCAGCTCAGCAGACCCTCGGCTGCATCTGCAGACTGAAAACGCGCTGGGCTTTGTGTGTGAGGTTCCTACCGCTTAGGAGCACACAACCCGGCTCGACAAATAAAAATCATTTAGCTAAAAAAACCAACAACAAACAAACCAACAAAAAACGCTTATTTTCTCTAACCATCCGAGGATATGTGAATTCAAAGCTTTCCCCGTCGTATCGGTTTGAAATTGCAGCCAAAAGTTGCCGCCAAACACCGAGCCTGACCTCTAGAGCGCGGCGCAACCGTGTGGGATGAGCAGCTGATCAAGTGAAAACTTGTCACCAGCAGTCCTCTCACGCCCCTGCTTCACTTTGCCCACTTGCTGAGCCAGATCGCTCCGAATAATCGCTGCCCACTCTTCTATTAAATATGCATACACGATCCCACGCAAACAGTCGCCTCTGTGGAAACGCGTTTCTCCACTTCGCAGGCAAACACGTGTCTCTTGACTTCACCACTGAGCTTGACACCCGCCTCTCCACCTCGGGTTTGTTTGCGAAGCGCCCGGAGCGCACGGCGAAGCGGGCGCAGAGGTGGTGAAAGTCCGGAGTTACAGTACCTGACAGGTTCTCCGCAGCTCGCTCCAGGGCTCGAAGCTCCCCGGGATGTTTGTGTGTTCGTCTCCGCCCGTGTGCGCGTCCCGAGTCAGGAGACAGCCCCACTGTCCCCTAGCAGTGTCCCCAAGAAGTGCTGACTTCGCCCCGCTGCGCGCCTCGATCCACAGCCCGCCGCTGCCTCTGACGTGTTACCAGGGAACAAAGCAGGTGGTGGAGCGAAGGGGTTACTGTTCCGTTTTTAACATGCTTCACTCTCCTCTCCCCTCATCTGCACGTTCGGGTGTAAAATAAAAAGGAGACAGTGAGATTGCAGGAGCAGCTATTGTAACCCATGAAACTTTACTACATATTGTCATGAAACAATGTTAATGTGTTTCGTTGCGATTTTGCTACTGAGATATGTTGTGCTTTTGTTTTTAGTCGTTCTTGGCTCGGGATAGCGCTGAATACAATCAAATCCAATACATTACTTTTCTATCAGATCACTGTAACTGTACACGTTTATATCTAAACGAAGCTTATAAAACAATTAGAGACCATCTGGCCTAACATACACATAGGTTGTAAAACAATTTCCCTACAGCTTTTAACACATTTAAATGCAAATTAATAGGTCAAATATGGTATTCATGCCTATGGTGGGTGTATGGAAAGTTTGTCCTGCTCTGTGCTGATAATCATTTGAAGCAGAGCCGCACAGTTTCAGAAAAAAAAGAAGATATTTCTGAGAGTTGAGAGTATTAGACTCTCCTTTGTCAGAAGAAAACGTGCTTTTCAGTGAGGCCACATTTATGCATTATAAATATTGTTTTTATTGGTCTGATGTAATATCCTGATCTTAGATGTCATGTTTTCATTTCATATCATCATAATTAGCTAAAACAAAGGCATGAAAACAGCAATTTGTGTGTAAATATAATGTGTTTCTCTGAGTGAATTGAGATACTGAAATAAATTAATTTTTTCATAACATACTAATTTATTGACTATGACTGTATATCCAACTGGAAAAATATATTATCAATACACCGAGAGTGAGCACAAAACATTTGAAATATGTTACCATGAAGAGCTTTGCAATTACAGCATTAGACACAATTTAATTGTGATTCAGCTCTAATTTAAAGTGCTTTTTTAAAAAAAAAAAATAGTTCTTCAGACTTCTTGAAGGTTTGTCAAATGTTTTATTTAAGCTTTACCTGCAGATTTTGAAATACCACTTTACATCCCATTTATGTGCATTAGAGTTAAAATACCACATGCTGTAATCCTCGCTTGGCAAAGTTAAATCTGCTTTTATTGTGGCTTTCATATCGCTAAAACTGCCTGTTGGATAACTTCAAACGAAGCCCATGCAATATGATCTCCCGACTGAATATTACAGAAAGTGAGCTGCAGGATGGAGGAGCATACAGCTTGCTCAGATGTCCTGATTAAATTCGAAGCTCAGACACACAAGGACTAAAATGCCAACCGTTTCTTTACTTTGGGAGGGTGAGACTATCGGAGATCTCTCAGCGTCCCGGGCCAACAGAATGTTAATGGCCTTTAAATTCAGCACTCAGCAAACACATAAAGGACTCAACCCAAGCGGGTAATTTGCTCCTGGAAATTGGTCTCTTTGATACTTTACATTCTTCACCGCTAAATGCAGAAGAAGCAGAAGGTCAGTCGTAAATCTCATGTCTTTGTGGCCGTTCGGGTTCATGTTTGCTCCTGCGAGTTTCTCCTCGGTGACTGTTTGCTCTTTGCTGAGGGAGAGGCATTTGTATGCCGTCCTAATAAAAGTGGGAGCAGGAGGCCATGAAGTAGAACGTCAGTGTAAAGATGGAGTTTACTCTCACCCTGCAGCCCTTTGAAGCATCACTTCTGTTGATGCTGATGCGAGCCGCTCTCAGCGGGCTTAAGGCAGAGTCTCCGTCCAAACCTGTGAGTGTTTGACGGTCAAAAGGGATCAAAAAGTGGCTTGGAGATGAATTTTCTCACACTTAGAGTTTCATTTTCAAACATTCAGCAAGTCAATTGGCTTGGACAACTTTATCCATTTCCCCTTGAATATACTTGAGCAAAAACTTGCTGGTACAGTTAATCTGAGGTTGTTTTATGGAAATAAATGGGCGGCAAAGATCTGACATTTTCCCCTTAATTACATTAATAAAACAATTCACTTTCATAGCTTGTGGTGTGGATTGTGCAGCTCTCTATGTGCTCTCTGTGTCAGGCCTGATACTTTAAGTGTTTGCCCATGTGTTTACAGTTACAGTCTTTCAATTTTCAGATGGTGGACTGAACAGAGTCCTGTGAGATGTTCACAGCTTTGGTTATTGTTCTACAAACAAACCTTACTTTAAATGTCTCCACAACCTTCTGCTTTCTGTTTGTTCACCAATATCCTCTAACAAACCTCTGAGGGTTTCACAACACAGATGCACTTCTTCTAATGACTTTAGATTAGACACAAGCAATCTTTATTTACCACTGAGTAATTGTTTACACTGGAATTTTGATTGGGGTATCATAAAGAGGGCTAAAACAAAATCAACCAACCTTTTGAGCGTTATACTTGTCTCCATAAATGTCTTGAATTTAACTTAAAAGTTATGCACTACTTTATGTAGATTTATCATATAAAATCCCAGTTAAAAGCAAATTTATGTTACTTGTAACATGAAACATGACAAAATGTGAAAAGGATCCAGGGTTTTAAATTCTTTGAATGAAATGTGACCATTGTAGATTTAAAGTGGGGTTTTTTTTCCAATCATTTTGTTTGTTTAAAAGTCAGAATTTATGGACGTTGGAGTAAAAGATATAGTCATGCTCCAACAACCTACTGCTGGGAATAAAACCTGTTTGATTGGTCAGCAGAAAATCTTAATCCTGAGCCTCTATTATGGGACATGTATTCGTTCTTTAACTGGAAAATATAAAATCCTGTGCATATTACAGGCTGGGAGCATCATCCCATGGCTATTAAAGACAATTGATAACATTTTTTTTAATGCATTTAATTTAAAATTGCTGAGGCACCCAATGATAATCAATTTGACTCACAAAGTATGGGCATCACCAAGCATTACAACCAGAGTGGATTATTAAAAAAAGAGAAAGATGAGGACTGTGACACAGTTGGTAAAATCCACAACTTGAATTGGCATTTCTTTCTTTAAACACAGAACAAATCAGCAAGTAGGACACCGTGCCATGAATATTTTACACGCATCAATATTTCGCGACTTGACACTGGAGTTTACGGCGACTTTTCTGCCTCTCAGAGTGGTTTTGGATTATGAGCTCTGGCAGGTCGCTCAGAGGTGGCAACCCGGACCAGGATGCAGAGAGGGCAGGATGGCAGGTTTTGTTCCTGTCTCAGCCTGATAAGATTGGGAATCCGGCCCAGAGAGAGGAGATTCAATAAATACAAAGCTGTGCCAACTGCAGTTGCGGGGTGAGGGGGAAGGGCTGGGCAGAGAAAAAAAAAAAAGATAATTTATTCATAAAGTTTTGAGAACCCTCTCCGACTTTTCTGCTTCTCTTTCGTCTCAGTTTGAAAAGTTTGATTGGCACTCAGTGTTGACACATTAAGACGCTCCAGTCCATTAATTCGGCTGACACGTGGAGCAGCTGTAGCTGCAGATGATTGAGTTCTTGTTCGTAATCCCATTACAGCGCAGCAGATTCAGAGTTCATTTGCAGCTTTGTGCGAAGACATGCTTCCATCTGAAAATGGGACAAATCAGAATTGGCAGTAGCTCGGCGACTCAAAGCTCCTCATGGCAGCACATCAAGGTAGAAAGTTTTAGCGGGAAAACAAACAACAAATATTAAAGTAATCTTAACTGTCACCCAAAAAAATAAAAAAAATCAAACAAATCTGCTGTAAGAAGAAGAGAAGAAGAGAGACCACTCTTCTGTGTTCAGTCTATTAATACTCGGAGGTCGGATGAAGAGATGCTTCATGATGAATAATAAAACTATTTAGTTGCATTTGTTAAATGGTTGTCTTATTTTAGTCCAGCTCAAAACGTAGGCAGGTTTTTCAAGCTTTACTGCTAATTATCTGCTCTAATGTAAAACTTAAGTCACATTTTTAAATTAATTAGTGTTAAAACTTATGAAAGGATAGGATTCGGTACTTTATTGAAGCCAACATAAAATTTTACACTTAACTGACCCAGCAGATAACAAATACAATACAAAAAATTGAAACATTACCAGACTAAAACAGCTGCTTAAAGAAATTTTAACTTGCTTGAAACATGCACACTGTGAGGAGCTTGAAGGTCTTCTGGAGGCAAACTGGAGAATATATTTGAGACTTATTGTCAATTTTTGCGCCTCCCTTTGATCTGAAAGGAAAAAGTTGGAAAGGGGACTGGCGCCAGTTTTCAGACAGCAGCCAGAGTAAGACAGAACAAATTCTGTCTCCGTGGACATGTTCGTCTCTCAGCTTGGATGCTGGCTGATTTTTTTTTTTTTTTTTTGCACAAGCAGCTCTCTGATTGGGCCGTGGTTGCTCCAGTGCTGCTGCTTCTTCTGGCATAACTTGTAGACGTTCAGAAGTTCTCATTTGGATCACAACCAGACTCCTCATACACTAACTACACTCAAAATAAGGACAATCTATGAGGCTGATATAAACTGAACATTTAAAGTTGCTGAATCCGGGGATATGGGCGACAAACTTCTCTTCTCAGTGAGAAAGGTTTCTGATGAATAAAGAGTCGAGTCCACAGACATGAGCTCAGAA